ACATGCCTTTGGCACGCCGGACTCTCAACGGAGTCTATGTCGGGTCATGTGACCGGCGACACACTACCTACCTTGTCACATAACGTCTCATGGACGATCTGGCTGACCTGGCACAGGTGCTAGCCAAATCACATAGGCTGCAGCTCGATTTGCAATCGTATCTTCATCAGTGCAGAACGAGCGCGCTTTGCTATTGTCATCCGTGATCCAGCTTTTGCCCGCCGCGTAAAGCAACTGTCCCCGTAGCACCGCTCTGTAGTGCCCTTCAGTAGGCGAAGCCCCATAGTGCAAAGCCAGAGCCACGACCTGGTATGGAATGTGGGAGCATTCGAGATTGTCGCGCTCAGAGGCATTACCATCTTTGTAGACAGGGAGATGCACAGTAGACAGGTGGCCTATCAGAGGCCGTGGATCTCGCCGCACAACCCCATCCTCGTTGTGGAAGCGAAGCAGCTGCAGACAAACCAAAGGGGCTGGCTCCAGTAAGGCGTGTACGCTGGACTGTATGTGCCAGCCATCTATGGACCACTGAAGATGACATTGAGCTCCCTGACAAAGAGGAAGAGGAATAGGCAAGTTAGCAGAACCAGAGTCAAGGGTGCAGAGACGGCCATCCCGAAATCGCCTGGCTTCCCACTTTGGGATAGACAAATCATCGGGCCATCGCAAACACCTTGGAATCAGATAGTGCAGGAACTCGCAAATGTCATGTTGCCGGCTTGGTTGAGCCCATTGCCCCAAAAGAAGTCTCCACGGCATGAGCTGCATGACCTTGACCAGGGATGTCTTGGCAGCCCCAGCAAGAAGTGCATTGTAGCACACGTGCAGTGACGGGCCTCTGACGTCAGAGAGCTGAAGCTGAAGCACGGACCATGCTGTTGCATATATGGATGCATTGATATAGCACATGTTGCCACTGTTATGCAGTTTGATGCGCAGCAGCTGAGCCAAGCTGGGAGCACCTGCAGTCAGAGACCCTGACGCACCAGATCGGCCAGGCCGTTGTACTGCGGCCGCTCCCTTCTCAAGCGACAGCCCAAGAGATGCCACGCCGCCTGCCCCACCCAACCCTGAAGGGTGTGCCAGATGGGGTCGCCCAGGCGACGCAGGGAGATCTCCATCCGGAACTGCACCCACTCGGCCGTGGGATTCTCTGTCATCCGCTTGTGACTCCTGAACCGATGGAGGGCTTCCTCGGTGACACCCTTCCGTAGCTCCACCGTTTGCCTGAGCAGGTCCTCCGTAGGTACCGTGGTCTTGCTGTCGTCGACCTGGAGCTCGCTCTTCAGAGGATTCCATTTGAGAACCCTCCAATGTCCCCGCTCGTCCACCCAGTTCAGCTGCTTCGCCTTGTCCAGCTCTGCCTGAGTCTTGGCAACCGTCGCCAATCGGCCGTGGAGCTCGATCAGCAGCTTCTTGAACATCGCAAGCTTCAGCGAGTAGGTGAGAGTCTCCGGGCTGGACTCCTTCATATGTCGCCACTGCTCTGCTGTCTGGTGCAGCAGGGGAACAATGCTCCCCTGGCCTGTCTTGACAAACAGGTAGAGGACCACATCCTGTCGAAGAGACGTAATCATTTGCTCCTGCTGTAGCACAAGCTTGGTGAGGTTCTGCATGTGGTGGTAGCAGTAGTCCGTCGCCTCGGGATGATGCTGATGCTGAGAGGCCCCCCTCGCCTGGGGCCATGGGCTGTCCCAGCTTTCGGAACCATTGGTGTAGTCCCACGTCGGTGGAAGAGGCTGAGTCTTGCCTTTTCCTTTCCCTTTCTTCCCTTTGCCTTTGCCCTTGGTCGTCTGTGGCATCGAAGAGCCCGGGCTGTTCTCGGGCCGTGGCCGCTTGGAAGGCGGCGGGACCGCCGGATTGTCGCCCTGCCCGAAAAAGAGAGCCTCCTCTTGACTGAGATCCATCTGCTCGAGGGAAAATGGACTCATGCCAGGCCTGCAGGTATGCGCAAATGCTGAGGGTAGGGCACTGCAGATAGTGTCGGTCCTTGTTAACCTTGACCTGATGACAGAACCTACACGGCAGGACAATTGCCCGCCGAAATGCCTTAAGCAGATGCTGAGCCTCGGCCTTCGTCTCGAGCCAGGAAGCGTGTGCATGAGCCAGATGGTGCTTTAGCCCCACCGCATCAGCACACCACTGAAAGCAAACTGGGCAGTGATGGAACAAATATTGCTGGATAACAGCATCACTTGCCAGGTCGACCCACTGACGTGCCTGCAGCTTTTGTAGAACCTCCGGTCGACGGATCAGTGGTACGTGGAGATCAGGCACAGTGCGGGAGGCAGGCTGAGATGTAGACGCCGTATTGTCCTCGCCCAGACCATCTCCAGGTAAACCGGTAGCAACGACATTCGCACACACCTGGGTCTCATGTGCAGGAGTCCGAAGCTTGGGGCAGCGGCTTCTTTTGACGTGCTGCTTGAGATTATCCCACTGTCGAAAAGCGTGTCCACATAGGCGGCAAGTCGGTACTCCTCCGGTGCTATGAAGCTGGCGATCAAACTTGACTTGATCCGTTTTGGGTGCCTTCTGTGAGTGAACCTTGGACTCGTGCACGCGCAGCAGCCTGTAGGTGCTGTAGGAACAGCCACATTGGTAGCAGAGAAAGGGGGCTTCAGCATCAGCCGGGTAAGGGGCCGATGCAGGCGAGGCATCCCATTGCTGAGCTTTCCATACCTGAAGGTTGGCCGCAAAGTCCCGTATAGCGCACAAGTGCAGGTCATCTACAGTATCGCCATAGCAAGTGTTGTGCTGCAGTTGCTTATGCAGCTGATGCGCCTCCTTGTGCAAAATGTCAAGGAGGGTGGGAATGCGGTGGCGCTTGTACAGGTCCTGCGTAGAGACTTTACTAAGGTGAGCAAACTGGCGAGTAATTGCCCGTATGTGCCTAGTGAGCAGGTGCTGCATGCGCTGGATGTCACGCAGATCTGGGCTTGAGGCAGCCAGCCCATAGGCAAGTGTAGGCACTACGGTGGCTCGCCAGATGGCAAGGCGTTCTCGCACATCAAGCTGGGCCCGCGAGCAGAGAATCTTGCGGAGGCGCTGCCAGGTGGAGCTAGCTGCCTGCATGCGATAGGCCACTGTCTGTTGAGCTGCAGAAGTATAAGATATTTCCACGCCAAGGTACACATGATGATCCTTAAGTGGGAACTCGAAGAGCCTTCCCTTCGGTGTGCGGAGCTGCAGGTGTGGCCCAGAGGGGCGCACTACCTGATGCTGCCTGAGCCAGCGCTTGGCAAAGGTGCCTCGTACTCGAAGCAGGGCCGCAGATTTCTTCTGGTTGATGCACATCTGAGCATCAGCAAGGATATCAAGCAGAGACCCGAGGCGGGCGGCAGCTCGTTCAAGCTCACTATACTTAGTAACCTGATCCGAGGCATGAAAGTCGTCTGCGTAGCACGTAACTGAGTGAAGTACCCAGGCAGGGTCAACCACTGTCTGAAGGGAGGCCAGGAGGCAACCTGTGCAAAGCCCCCAAAGGAGAGGAGCAAGCATGCACCCTTGCCGAACCCCTTGTGAAGCGTGTACACATTTTTCCCATCCAAGGTGATTGATAAAGTAGCGCACTCCACTGTACCAGCTGGAGACCCAGTCCCGCAGGTCATCCGGTATTTGGGCCTCAGCCATGGAGCGAGACAGTAGCTCCCAGGACAAGATGTCAAAAGCCGATGTGAGGTCTAGTGAGAGCTGTATGCCACCGTAGTGAAGCTGGGACTTAGGTTTGTTCTCGTATGCATCCATGATCTTCCTGACCGGGGCTGAGCATTGCTGTTGCACCCGACGACAGTGGGACTGGGCTCGAAGGATGGCATGACTCGTGCTTCTATGTGCCAGGTAGGCAAATTGTGGGATAGAGTTAAGGTAACTGGAGATGTGCGGTTTGAGGCGTGTCTGCAGTATGCGCGCAATGGCTCGGCCCCCTACGTCGGTAAGTCCGATGGGCCGCAGGTTGCGCGGCTCAAGGGGCCTCGGAATTTTCGGCACCAGTGTGATCCAGGCATCCCTCCACAATTGTGGAACTGTGCTTGCATTTGTCGTGCATGTAGCCAGAACTGGGGCCAGTAGATCCGCGCAACTACGCCAGAGTGATGTCGAGGCCATACCCAGGGGCGCGGCTTTATGAATCGGCAAGCGCTGGATAGCAGCCAGCACCTCTTCATGTGTGACCTGCATGGTGATGGATTGAGGCGGTGACGGTAGGGAATGGGGGTCTGGTGCAGCATAGAGTTTGGCATAGTGCTGATGAAGTTGATCGGCCTGGGCAGAGGCATCCTGCAGACATCCATCGGCATCGCGTAGCTGAAAAGCGGAGCGCTTGCTTTTGGGAGCAAGGGAACGAATTTCAGCATATAGTCTTCGAGTGTCCTGGGATTTGGCCGCGGTCTGCAGTTCCGCCAAGCGATTCACAAACCATTGCTTTCTGGCCTCCTTGCCAGCCTGCTTGAATGCCTTGTGCTTCTGACGAAAGAGCTGGAAGTTACGCCAGGCCTGGAAAAGACAGGTAAGGCCACGACCGGACGGCCGTTTCCAGCGCCGGTATGCATCCCACATGGCCCGAAGACCTCCTTGCATGACAGGCGTCTGCCACAAGGCCAGTCGCTGCGGTTTGGGAGCAGCAGGGAAGGCCACACAAGCCTGTGCAACCAACATCCGGTCCAGATCTTCCACCGTTCGTACCTGGGAGAGGTTGTTCGCAACCAAAGTGCGAAGATGCTCGACTTGGGGGTCCCACCAGGCTTGGCATTTCTGAACAAGGGACCAGTGGTCCCAGGAGCGAGCTGCCCCAGGAGGCCTGTTGAGGGACTGAAAGTTTAGCATCCTAAAGGTGCCGGCAATGGGTAGATGCTTCCCACCTTGTCGCCAGGCCGCTAAGGCCACCTGGATAGGACGAGCCTGCTTGGCAAGGTTGTCAACTTGACTCTGGCGGCCTATGAGATGGTCAATCTGACTACTCCCGGTGGGGTGTATATAGGTGGAGCCGGCCTTCCGCGTCCAGGAGTTGACTTGGAGGAGGCGGAGGTCTTCGAGCAGTTTTTGGAAGAGATGTTGGTCAGGCACAGAGCCAGTATGCCCACGGCCAGCCTGAGGTCCAGCACACACCGACGGCCTGAGATGGCAGTTATGATCACCCCCTAGGATGACAGTGTGTCGTTCTGGGACCCGGCTGAGCTGGTGTCGCAGAGTTTGCCAGACCTTTTTGCGCAGTTCCCTGTTGGCCTGGACCTGTCCCTTCTGAGCATTCTGGGGCTTCTGATAGACGTTGAGAAGGTCTACTGTCCAGTGTGCTGTAGCCACTCGAGCATGCTGAATCCGACCTGGTAGCGGATCGGCATAGGTGAGGGATCCTCGTTGATGTACCTGCTGGTCTATCAGCATGACAAGGCCAGCCGCTTTGCAGTCAGTGGTGGGAGAGGTAAGCACTGTCCAGGCGCTGGTCTGAAATTTGGGAGAGAGGGCTTCAGTCCAATGGGACTCCTGGAGCATCACAACCTGAGGCCGCTGCATGGTAGGCATCTGCTCTAGGGTAAGAAGAAGCTCCTGCCACAGTTCTGTGGTGAGCCCGCCTGCATTCCAGCTCCAAACCAGAAGACGATCCGGCCTTCGGACTAGCACGGGCAGTTTGGCTCGAGATTGCACCTCGACCTCAGCGTTGACTCCCACATAACGTGAGCGGAGCTGTCGAAGAGTATAAGGCCTTCCCCGATATTGAGTGCGTTGCTCAGGGTGCAGGGCCGCACGACGCAGCGCTCTCTTGTAGGAGCGTTTCCTTGCATCAGTGAAGGTAGACCCTTGTAGTGGCACTGACGGAGAAGGGCAAGCTGGAGGGGCATGCATGGCGGAGGCAGTCTCCCGCATGCTAAGGGCCGGTCGCACCTGCAGAAGGCCCACGAGCAGTAGAGTCCACAGCCATGAGAATCGGCGAGGCCTAGACCTGGGTCTGTGCCAGACAGTGGACTGAACGGCTGACGGCAGAGCAGCAGGGTCCGGAGCGGTTGAGGAGATACGTTGCTTGGCTGCCAGACAGGGACGAGACTGCGTTGACTGAGGTGGCAGCTTGCACGCCACCACGCGCATGAGGGGACACAGGCTGCGAGCCCAGACGAGAGCAGCTGCAAAGCGAACGCGCTGATGAATCTGCACACAGAGGGTGGGTCGTACACCGCTTGCTCTGATAAGCAGGTATTGAAGATACTTGAGCGACTGCAATATGCAGAGAGAAAGTAGAAGAGCTGTCTGTAGGCTCCTCCAGAAGAACAATCTGATCAAAAGTAAGACCTGTTTGCAGCTGAGAGACGCAGAGCGGTCCCGTGAGACTGCGCTCTTTTGCAGTGACTGAATTTGTAGCTCTGGCCGTGGCTTCCCACGATCACACCACAACGGGAGCAAACGTGGTCCCGACAGCAGACGGCTACTGCTGCCAACCCTCGCTCCTATTCTCCCTAGATCAGATTGACAACCAGACCAAAACGGCGGGGCCATCAAGGTGTCTACCCTAAGTAAGTTCAGAGTAGGGAGAGAACGCCCGGACTTGGGACCGAGCTGGCTTCTGTGTTTGTGAGAGATTGATGTTTCTTTCCATCCGTAACATGACATTGGTACCGAGTCAATCCATACTCTCCAGGTCCACAGGGGCGGTTTCCTCCTGGGCACTAGGCCATGCACGAATTTTGTTGCAGCCATGTGCACTCGCTCTTGCGAGCAGCCGACAGTAGCTCGGCGGGGTGCGTTTATCATGTTCCAGACGGCACCGTGGGCAGCAGGGACTAGATAAATAGCAGTCCTGGGCTGGAAGGTCATAGTCCTGCGCAGCACGGGGTTCAAGGGGCCAAGTGGCGTCCGAGAGGGGCAGTACCCCCAACTATGTGTCAGAGCTCCTGCTGATCTCGGTGCTTGAGGCAGATCTTGGCCAGGGTGCAGGACGGTCCGAAAGCAAAAAGGGCTTAGTGCGGAGGGCCGGGCCGAGGGCTCCGCATGTCCAGGAGTCAGGCTGGAAGTGCCACCTCGCCGACTAGCAAGTAGGTGGTGGGTGGTAGATGCAGGAGCAGGCTCCTGGGCAGACCAGCACGTCGGACAGAGGCGGCCTCGGTCTCCTGTCCAAGGAAAGACGCTACCACCAGACCTGGCAGAGAGATAGCGGAGCCATTCTGCAGCAGGGTAGGGCCTCGAGCAGACGTAGCACACGGCCTCGGTAGCCTGGAAGACTCTTGGCCAGCCCTGTACAGCACAGGGCAAGAGCTCGCAGCACAGGCCAAGAGCTAAGGTCAGCGAGCGACCTGGATCCAATGAAGCAGACAGACCTGAGAGCAGGGTAGATGCTCGATAGGAGGGCACCAACTACATCCTCCACTCCAATCTGGGCCGCTCTGCTGGCATGTCCCCCTGGTGAGGGGGCGGGGAAGTGAGGCCCGCCAGGACCCGAGCATGCTGTCGGGCATCCTGCAAGAGACAGGGCAGATACATGGGCGCCGGCCACGGAGACCCTGACAAGGAGGCGCATCCGGCCTCGCTCGAGGGGCTCGCCTCGGGTTGACTTGTCGACCTGAGCAGACACAAAAAGCCGGGCTGGCTCCGAGCAGGGTAGACCCAGGAAGTCCCCGAATGCATGTAGAGCACAGCGGTCTGCGAGTTGCACACAGTTGGGGAGGCATCCGTTGGCCTCTCCCGTGCACGATTGGCACGGGAGACACGAAGAAGCTTTTGCACCATTGTGCGATCATTGGGCGCCTTCCGTTTTGGCGGCTTCACCGGGATGTCCTCTGGATCAACTTCAGGGAACCAGATTGACGGCTTGGGACGCGAGCTCTTACTGCCACCCGAGCTGATTGCCGGCTTGGATGCTGCTTTGGCCGCCCTGATCGCCCGCCTCACGACAGGCACGGCAGCCTCCACTCTGGAGGACTCCTCGGCCTCCATGTTGGCTCGCTGCACAACAGGTGCTCCCGCCACAGAGGCAGAAGACGGCTCCATTGCACTTGCCTGTTTCCCAGCCAGTGCTCGGATCTTGGGCTTGGGCTTGAGACGCCCTTTGTCCAACATCACGGCGTCCTTGGCGCAGTCCGTAGTTCGGCGCCCGCTGTCGCCAGCGGAGCTCTTGCCTGACCCAGCCTTCTCCAGAGGCTCCTTGCCTTCAGCATCTCCAGACCGCGGTCGTTGGTGTGCGGGCTTCCTTTTTCGGCTGGCAGGTGCCAGCTCCTGGCCCTCACGCCATGGTGGCACTCCGGTCTGTATCACCTCCGGATCCTTGGCGGGGTCCCTCATGCTTGTCCGAACCTCTTCGAGGGAGACAGTCTCCGAGCTCCAGCCCGCGGTCTTTGGTCCGCAGGGTCCGTCCATTCGCTTGCAGGGCTTGGACGAGGTTTGCTCCAGGTGGCCTCCTTGGTGGTAGAGTTGTAGTAGAACTTCTTGCCGGTCTTGTGGATCCCGATTGGGCGTGTCCAGGGGGCCGGCAGCTCCATTCGAAGGGCCGGAGTAACAAGTTCACCCGTCCTGGTACGCTTCGGCGCAGCCGGGGGAACCATGGCCTCGTAGTCAACCCAGCCCAGCAGAAAACGAGCGCTGTAAATGGTGAGGGGGGGAGGCCGAAGCCTCCAACACAGCGACGGCTCCAGCCCGTCATCCTCTGCACAAGGCTCCCCGCCCAGCGGACGAAGGTGCTGTACTGCCATGGTGATCGTCCTCTTGGTCTCGGGGAGGGAGCCATCCAGGAGGCGGATGTTGCGGGTCTGGTCGGGACCGGTAGCCTCCCGTGATCTCTACCTCTGTGCCCGGAGACATCCATGAGGGAGGTGGAGTTGGTGGCTCCAACGGCTCCAACGGCCCTGTGACCAGAGCTCGGCGGTGCCCTGAAGCCCTGGGCGCCTCAGGCTCGACCTCAACTTCAACTTCCATCTCTACCATTTCGGATTCCAGATCCACTGCAGTGGTGTCATGGCTTCTGGTAGGAGCCGGCATGAGATAAGCAAAACCACCTGCACGAAACCCAGCAATGATCCTGGGGATTCGAGAGAAAACTCGCGGCAGGGTAGTGCACAGATCATGTGGACAGCTGGAAGGCCACAACTCAGGGGACAATCGGTGCTGAGGCACAGAACTTAGAGGCACATCTGCTTCTGGGACCGCGGCCGAAATTGATCTGCTGCCAGAGGGTCCAGGGAGGGCCCAGGAGCCGAGCACAGTGAACCTTAGCGGGCTAGTATCACAGAGGCCGCATACAGCCGCAAGGCAGACAGGACCTGCTCGCAGCTGATCGAGCGTCAGCACCATGAGCTTGACCTGGGCCGCATCAGAGGGCAGCGCAGTCTCATAGGAGCAAAGAGGGGTTGTCCACAGGACTCTGCAGTGCACTAGCCAGCTCCAGTTTTGGCAAGGCCGGAAGAGTGGCTTCATCTGTGCAGCTCGGCCAGGCAGCCTACTGGTGAGGCTGAAACGTGATCGTGATTGTCCAGCCCGGCACAGAGGTCGTAGATGTCGTTCCAGGGGGTCTTGCCGGAGGCCTGGAAGGCGAAGAAGTCGTGGCCTTGGCGATCGCAGCCCCGGGCGGCGCAGCTGGCATTGCACTTTTGGCTCCTGGAGAAGACGGTGAGGCTCCAAGGTTCGGCATGACAGCAGCAAAGGGAGGGCTGGGCATGCCCAGCGGTGGTCTGAAGCCTGCTGGCGTGGGAGGTGGTGGCCCAGCCGGTCCGGTAGGTAGAGGCTCCGCCATGCTCCACACTGGCCTCAGTCTGTGTCTCAACCGAGGTCGTAGTTCTCCCTGTGCCAGTCGAGAAGCAGCTTCCCAGGGCAGCACTGCCTCGCATGGGCCGCGTGGGCGGCCGGCTAGCCATGGGTCCATTAACGGGTGTAGGCGGCGGCGGGCCGTTGAGGCGGGGCCCTGCAGCAGTAGTTCCATCAGCAGCGGATGCCTCAGAAGGACCAAAGGCTCTATCAAGCTCACTCGAGTCTGGCGAGGACATAGTGGGAAACGAGCTGGAGTCCGTCTCCTCTGGGTCCGCCCCTGGTCTGGCCTTGGCCTTTGCCTTAGATCGTGAGCTGCGAGAGCGGGCCACAGCCTTCGCGGCACCTTTCTTGCCGGCTTCCTTTGGCCCCATGTTGGCCTGCTACAGATACATGCTTGAACCGCAGGCTGTCCAGCTGACGTGAAGTGAGAGCACGACCAAGGCAGAACAGGCTCAGGACAGAGGTGGCAGGCAGCTGCACTCTGAGTGTCGAACCGGTGGACCGCGTGGATCCACGAAGCAAGGACTGAGAGGACCAGAGCGGCTGCGAAGGGCTTAGGTAGGCCCCAGAGCAGCGGTGTACCATCATGCAGCCTACAGCCATGTTTGGTTGACGAGTCCCAAGGGCTTCTAGCGGATCCAATATAGTTGATGCCAAGGCCCTTACCGTTTTTAGAATCCATCTCTCTCACAGGGCGGAGCCAAG